ACTCATCCGCAATCGGGATTTGATTAATACACTCGCCGAAGGACAATTAGTTTAGTTCGTTTACAGAATGTAGAACCGCATTGGCAACTAACGTGTCGTTTTTCTTTAATTGATAGAAATACGTTAATCTTTAAAAAGTTACCAGAGAGGTTGTCCGTTAATTTTTGTAGTTTCAACATCTTAGGCTAGTTATCGATAACTCTTAATTCTTGGAAAATGCTGTTTTTACTTGAAACGTACGTTAAGAGAAGACCTGCGGGGCAACGGTAGTTTAGTAGGTATAAAAATTAGAACTTAAGGGTGGAGTCTAAATACTACAAAATTACTTTCGAGACTAAACAAAACCAGCATTCATGTCGAAATTTAACATTTTTCCTTAAATTTCTCTGTTACCTACGATCCATTTTAAAGGAATCATACAAATAACAAAAATTTAAGAATAACCTCACAAACAACTCTTATTCAAAGAACTTTCTTCTGTAATCATAAGTAACAAAAATATACCATAAAGTTGAAAACTTTCGTATAAAGTACCTTTAAATGTTCCGACTATGCTCAAAATGTAATCATCTTACATGAACGTAAACATATTCGCATATTCGTAGCTAAAACATCTAACCACTGCTAAGGCAAGATGGCATCTATAGATTTTTTTTGAAAATTGCCATTTTAACAGGATAAACTGCGGTAGATTTGTACATAGCAAACAAGTCTTAAATTCAACTCTATTTGCTTATCGGAGTTGGCGGATGAGATTGGTTGGCGTTACGGGATTACCAACTTCTTCTACTGCATTCTCTCTCTTCCTTAAGCTTCATATGAATATTCTTATTTCTGTTGCTCCTTATATCTTTGCACTATACTCAAGAAAAATTTAATTTGGATATTTATATAAGATTTCAAATCATCCCATTCCATTTAAACCAATAATGACAGAGATTTAGGCTTAGGTTCTTTTATAATTATTACTGTTTTTTACTGTAACTGACATATAAATGACAGTTCACATTGATTATTAGGCATTCCCAATGACATATATAGATTAATAGACTGCTCATCCATATATAAACAAGACGACGAAAAGCGGGTCATATTGCTTGGCTTGCCGAGTGCTCACCAGGCAGAATCGGTCTGGCCCAAATGAGTTTAAAACTCATATTTCATCAAAGTAGGAATTGAATTAAAAAAAAAATTATCTGTATGTTTATTTCAAGAGAGGAGCTTGCGTTAGATATTTTAAAAAAGGATTTTGAGTTGATTTAGTTTCCCAATTTTCAAAACATTTTAAGAGATCCAACCAATTTTGAAGATAGATATAAACAATTTTACACTAATGTGTATATAACTAACTTTAGACCACGACCACTGTATAGTGGCACTATTCGGACACTTGATTATTCTTTTAAAATTTATTTCGCATTATAAAAGCAGATATTATGCAAAAATTGAATGAACTTTTTAAAGATTTTACTAAAAGTTAGTAGCTTTTTCACATTCTAAAGTTTGTTCCCTTTAGACAATTAATGATTATTTTGGTGGTGAATGTGAATGATTTGATGAATACTAATAAGATTCCACCAGTGGAATAGTAAAATGAACTAGGTACAAAGTGCAATCTTAGTTGACGTCAAGATCCGTTTAGCATCGGTAAGGGGGAAAGAAAGATTCTGACTTACAATCACAAAAAGAACGTACAACTAAGCTTAGTCGATGTAAGTTAGCTCAGATTAGTGGTAAAAAGAAAGCGACTATTAATAAAAAGAAAAGTAATCCAGCTAAAACAAGAATTATGGCTACTGTCTTTAATAATGATATGTTGCCAGAACTAGTAGAATGTTAAGTGTTAAGTTATCTTCTTCAGGCAATGGATGTACGTATGCATAATTTAAAATGTTTGGTTAATTATTATTATTATGTTTAATGTGTTTTTGCAGTTAATGAACATATATCTACTACTGAAGCAGATAATGAAGATTTGTATGCTGCTGAAGAGCTTTGCTTAATTTACAAAACTTCGTTTAAAAGCAGAAAATTGGGATCGATTGTTCAACACAAGTGAAGAGTGGTGATTTAGTTGATCCGTTTTCAAACAGAATTGTCAGTGCTAAAGAACTATCTACTTTAATAGGATTGCAATCCTTTCAGTTATTAGCCACCATTGTGGAATTCGTTGTTTCTAAAGAATAGGAAAAAGGAGATCAGTTATGTCTGTAAAGGATCAAGTTATATTTACTTTTATGAAGTTGAAAACTGATATGCAAGATATAATGTCTTATCCATTTTATTTGGAGTGAATAAAAGTTTTTATCATTAAATTTTTTAACATTTTTTAATAAAACTGGTAGAAATTCTTAGTATGGTATAATTCGGCCTTCAAAACAAGAAATATTAAATAATGTGCCTCTATGTAAGTAAGAGTACTACTTGATTGTACCGAAATCCCAATACAGCAAGCCAAATGTCTTTGTTGTAGGCTAAAAAATTACTCTGACTACAAAAAGAGACATACTATTAAAATATTGACTGGAGTGTCACCTACTGGTCTCATTACTTACAAAAGTGAAGCATATGGTGGTAGAACTTCAGAAATAAACATTTTTTAACAAAGTTCAATACTTGAAGTGTGTGAATCATTTCTCGATAGTAAAATGTTTAACAAAGGTTTTCTTATTGGAAACATAACAGAAACTGAAGGTATACAAATTATACAGCCTCCTTTCCTCAATAAAAAAAATCAGTTCAGCCATCAAGAGGCTTTACTTAATGCCAAAATTGCCAGAGCTAGAATTCACATAGAAAGAACCTATCAAAGAATAAAAGTGTTTGTCTGGTACTTATGTCCGTTTTTCTTCTATTTATATTGTTTTTATTATACGATACTTCTCTGTATCTAACTAAATTTTAAAATGTACTTGTAAAGCCCAGATAACTCTAACTCGGGCCTTTGAATATAATAATATTTATGTAATTGTATTTACAATAAATACTTTATTATTAGTATTATTATTATAATTAATTATAATTCATAAAATTATTATAAACGTATTTACCTTGTACCTACTTGTATTGATACTTGCGTGAAAAATGAAATGTTACTTTTATATTTCTGTAGCTGGTCTTACAACACTTTATAGAGCAATTCACCATTAAAATTTAAAAACAAAACAAGTTTTTATACTCAAATAATTAAAAAATTTAAAACAGAACATAAGTATAATTAAAACTAAATAAAATAAACAACTCAACAAAATGTCCGACTGAGTAATGACAATGAGAACAAAATCTCAACTAGACTAAACTTTCTTTGAAACCGGTCCTGTGAAAGTTTTGTTTACCAGTGAGCACTCAAAATTGAGACAAAACACAAACATTGCATGTACTAGACAAAGAGAAAACATCTCCCAGTTCGACCCGCTTTTCATCGTTTTATTTACGTATGGATAAGCAGTCTATTTAAACTATATATGTCATTGGGCATTCCAAACAACATGATTGCCCTTAGGTAATGAGAGGCTACTGACAGACACATTATAGGTTATGATATATCAACATTGTAGGCCTGGTGATTTGACAGGTATAATGATATAGATAGTCATATAGATTGAACACTCAAGTAAAAATGTAATTATTTTTTTAATATATTCAGAGGCTGGAAATTGGTTTTAAAACACATTTTTGCTAAACCAATTTAAATTAATGAACACTTGCCAGGCAATATGGCCGCTCGCAAATGACTTGCTTTGAGAAATCTATATATGAATGGAAAGCAACATCAATATAGGGAAGCATTTTCAACTGGTTTTTTATTTTCATCTCATATTGGAACTGGTACCTTTTAGGACAAAGGAGGAATAGATATATTTTTGACATGCTAAAAACGAAATCTTCTTAAATGGTTCATTCTCATCTAGAGAAGTCTTATATTTTACTGTGCCTATTTTCTAAGAATCAACATTTGCTATCTTTCCTACAAATTTTTTGGCCATTCAGGTCAGTTTTGGTTGCTTGAATTATTGCCTCAATAATGCACGGTACATCAAATGGCTGAGAGCTACCACAAGACCTTGCCAACTGAATCCAGTCTGTGTGATGTTTAATGGAAATGGGATATTTTTTCTATATTTCTCAATGACTGAATGTTCCGAGTCACACTCGATGTGATTGTGATTCGAAACAAGGAATATGTGATTTAAAATTTCTAACTGTCCCTGTTCTGACCAGGACATGTATTATAGTATGTACTAATTTCTGTGGTTTCATTCCAAGATACAAGCGTAAAATGTTTAGATACAAGACCTTATCTGATTTGCTCCTCGTCTTCCGACAGCCTCATACCAATTAAAACAAAAACATATTTTTGAAGTAAGTTTTGCGCATTCTAAAATTAAAAGTCCACAGTTGGCGTTTGTAGAATGCACTAGAGGTTTTGATGTCGGGGGTTGGAAGACATTGCTGTATATCAAAAGAATACACTAAGCACTTCTTATCTACAAAAGCCATAGTCTTATAATGTTTCTTAGCCTCATAAGCCTTCCTTGCCTCTAACTGGTGGTCTTGCAATTTAGTTTTAAATTGTTAGACGGCTTCACCTTTCTTGTTTTTAATAAGCATTTGAAGCTTATCAAACTAAGCAGAAGTATCTTTGTGAGGCTTCTTAATCTAAATACCAGTTTTTTGAAACTCCGTCTCATAATTTTTTTTAAACTACTGGTTTTCTTTTTTCATGTAACCAAAGCTTATACCCATTATAACTTATAGATAATGTATAATGACTTGGAGTCAAAGATATATTTTTAGAAACCATATCAATGTCATATTTGGGTGTCTTGTTAGCCGGAATCGACTTTCCACGCTTATCAGTGTCTAATAATCCAGAAGTCGAGACACGTTTGTTGATGTGGTAATAAATTTGTTCGTTACATCAAAAGTAACATCGTTTAAAAATAGGTCCTTTAACACCATCAACACAAGGTGTGAATTAATTTGTTATAACTCTCTTTTTATGCTTCGTTTCTTCTTCTTTTTTCATAAAGACCAATTCCCCAAAATCCTTTAAAAATATTTCTTCTTCCGGTATCATTAATTCTGTCTCTGCATGTGGGCAATGCATTATACTTCTTTGATTTAGTTATTTTGCCTTTTCTTGTTATGTATTTTTCTCCAAAATTTCTAAGCTTCTTCATTGGTACTTCTCTAGTTTCTTCCTTGATTACTTTTCTGCCTTTTTTCCTTACTACAACAGGGCTAAAATTCTCATTTGCTCTTAATATCACATCCCCTGTAATATGAACTTTTTGCCACTTTTTGGTCTTTTGATTCTTCAAGTTACTGTTGTCCTTATTGTTGTTGCCCTCACTGTCACTTATGGCCGATCCAGCAACCTAATTTTTATCTTTATCCGAGTCATCAATTGGCTTATCCACATCTGACACATTTTCATTTTCAACAACCCTGATATCTCTTAATTTTCCCGGAATTCCCAGTGCCTCTGTTTCTTTAATTAATAATTCATTTTTTGTTGTTTTAGATAAATGTCACAATTGCCAATTTTACTGTATTCTATTGGGAATAAAAAAATGTTTAGACTTTTTCTGTAAACCTTTAAACTCCTAAAAATGCATACCTTCCCCGGAAACAAAAGTTTGATGAATAGTCATTGACACTGACTCCTCTATGTTACTAGGTAAAGTGGGTGAAACATCTAAAGTTTGGATGGTAAAAATATGGTTACCAGCATCTGATTCTATGTATTCATCTTTATTTTCTAATCTATTTAGTTCTACTGCGGTTGAATTTGAGGTTGAACCCACATCGTTGTTTGTTGCAATGTGCATATCTCAAAAATAAAATAATTGGCTATAAACCCATATTAGATCAGAAAACAGTGCTTATCATCATCATCAGTGTTTGATTCACGATACAGTGGATTGTTGTATTCACTGTTTTTACTTTCACTTTTAAAGTTTGTTGTGAAATCATAATTCGCAAATTGCATACACATCAAAATAAACCAGAAAATACAAGTAGGTATTAATGCAACTACATTAGTTTGTTATAACAAGAAATTAAACAAGTCTGGTGCATGTTATGGCGAAAACTGCGAGAAGCGTTTCGAGAGAAAAAGGATATATGTATACTTATATCCTGAAATTAGGAAGATTTTAAAGTGTGTAACGGTATATGTGCAGACATTTTTATTTTGTGGCAAAAAAACTATAATCCATTTTTACTTTATTTATCCACTAATTATTTTGGAGTTTGGACGTGTAGTTATATCCTTTTGCGCTAAGAATAGTGCCTTCTTATTTTTTTGGTTTAAGGTATATGTCGACGGATATCGTTATTTACAAAAAAGCTTATGGATTTTGAACATACAGGTGAGGCAGAAAAGTAATAAGACTGATCTCTGTATCTGTATCTATATCTATATCGTGTGGAGGTTGGGTTACCCCCACGGTAGTTAGGCCTCACTAGGCCCATTGTGCATCTTCCTTAAATGATAGGCACCTCCTAGTTCGTGAGCCAGCCTACAGATTTGATGTAGTTGACAACGTCGCTAAGAGGTGCTTTTCCTATATCGGCCGGTGTTAGCCGATACTGGCCGAACATAAATCTTCTAATAAATTATAGTGTCGAACAATCGTAGAGGATATGCTCGATGGTCTCATCTTCTTGTTCGCACCCTCTGTAGAGTGCGAAATCTGACAGTCTCATGGTATAGAGATGCTTCCATACTTAGTAATGACCATTCAGAATGCCTGTGACTAGGGGCAGATTCTGACTAGTCTTAGTCAAGTATTTTTTTATTGCAGTGTTGTCAGGATAACTTAAAAGCTCCCTGGCAACCCTACAGTTTCTTGTTTTATTCCATATTTCTTTAATTATTTAATTAGGTCTGTCACTACCGATTTTGTCAGGCCAATGGAAGGGCCAGGTCCAAAAAGTATTTGGTTGGCTGCTTTATTAGCCAGTGAATCAGCAAGACGGTTACCTTTCGATGTGGCGTGATCTTTGATCCATCTTAAGGTGGCCACGTTGTTGATGGATATTTCTGCAAAAACTTCGTGATATTCTAGTACTAACCCTGAATAAATTCGTGGTCAGTTCAGGGTGAGTAGTGCTTGTTTGCTATCTATATAAATGAGCATGTTCCTTTCAGTGATATTGTTTCTGGTGATTTCTTTTGCTACTATGAAAATCCCCGTGAGCTTTCTTTAAACTACACTGGCACTATTGCTCCCAGCCCATTTTATGTTAAGGTTTAAGGATCTGAAGTATATTCCACATCCTAAGCCTTGTTTTATTTTAGAACCGTCGGTGTAGATATGAATCGTACCTGCCACTTCCCGCTCTTCTATTTGTTCTGTTATAACTTTATATGGCTTATGGAAGATATATATCGGTGAGATGGAGTCCATATTCGCTTAAAGCAGTGGGAACATATTGAGCGCCACCTATCAAAAGCGACGTCTCGCCTCACCAGATTGTACATCAAGTTCTATTCCAACCGTACGGAGGCATGTCATTTTAGTCAGTGCAACCTCCTTGATGTAAATATCAAGGGGAGTGAAACTAAGAATAACTTCCATGGCTCTGGTCGGTGTTGTTTTCATGGCTCCTGTTATGCTGTTTTTTGAATTTGTTCTAGTTTACGAATAGCTGTTATTTTTAGGGTCTTTGGTACCCAGACAACTGCACCGTATGTTAACATAGGTCTTATGATAGCCGTGTAAGTCCATGCGACGACTCTAGGAGAGAAACGCCAGGTGCGCCTCACGGTTCGGAATTGTTCATAGGCAATGTATGCTCTTTTGATTATATTTTCTATGTTAACTTGCTGTCAAAGGTGAGACCTACGTACTGCACCTCTGTAGCAAAGTTTAGTTTTGTGTTTAGGAGTTCTGGAGGTTTCAATTTCATTTTCATCCTTTTCCTTGTAAAAAGGACCATTTCAGTCTTCTGAAACTGATTTTTTTATTTACAAAGTTTTTTTTCTCTTTCAAACATCATGTTATTCCCTTCAAATTAGTTCCCTTGGGCAGCTACACACCGATGAAGACGTTGTTCCCACTGTTCGTAGCAGCGCTAGAAGTGTTCAATCGTTATGGTTTTCAGCATGTCCGTTACAGTCTTTTGAATGATTTCTGAAGTCCCAAAATGACGGCCTTTGAGGATAGTTTTCAATTTAGGAAAAAAGGAAAAGTCACAGGGACGAGTAAAGCTGTCCTTGAAAGGCTCAGAAAAATGGTCATTCGCGTGAGCCTAGACATTGCAGAGAAATGGTTGCTCCATCATGACAACGCCTCATGTCACACTGCCCTCTCCATAACAGAATTTTTGATCTTAAAAAGTATTGCTGTGGTTCCCCATCCCCCTTATTTTCCTGATCTGAGTTCCTGTGACTTCTTCCTTTTTCCTAAACTGAATCGATAAAAATTCTGAAATAATGATAAAAATGTGTACCTTCTGTAATTGTACCTCTGCGCTGTCAGCTATGATAAATTAAATGGTCATAATCATGATAAACATATCTCGTTTTTCACAATTTTCGACTTATGCCCTTTTCCCCGCCGGGCCGCCGATTATTTTTACGGAAAAATCGCCTCGGTACGCCTTACAGCGATAATTCCTTTTAGGGATTTTCCTTCAAATCGACCCTAGCGACCTTTTTGTAGCCTACACCAATGAGCACTTAACAGAGTTTAGCGCACTCTATAGATCGGTTGCTTAATTATTGTTTCTCGATGGGAAACCATACAAAAGAGTGTATTTTAGAGGATTGGTTTTTTTTTTCTGTGATAATGAGTTGTATTATTGCTTTCTTTCGCTTGCCTTGAGAGAGAAAGTGGGCAATAAATGTTACTCGAGAGCACGTGGAGTTTGACGATAAAAAGACGGTTAGCTCGTTTTATTGGCAGGCGCCTGGGTTTTCTCGAAGACATTGTTATCTAAGGATTTTTTAATTTGTCAATAATAGAGGGTGTGATTGGTTTTCGGATTAACTTTTATTATTAAATAATTTAAAATTATAATTATACAGAGTGGCCACTGTTTAATTATACATGACAAACTCTTATAAGAAAGCCTAATGCTTTATTTGTATTAATGTAATTTATATGGGTGGCACAAAAATGATCGAAAACATTTGATCGAATACATCTGATCAAAAACATTTGATTGAATGCATTTGATCGAAAAAACATTTTATCGAAAAAACATTTTATCGAATAACAAATGATCGAAAAGAAAAATGATCAAACAGAAAAATGATCGAAAAGAATATTGATCGAAAATAGATTTAATAGAAAAAGCAATTGATCGAAAAACCAAATACACATAAAATTATAAAAATTAAATTAAAATATTTCAAGTAATTTACCTAACTTATTGTGTGGCCTAGAGCCATCGTTGTTTGGCAAAAAAATATAGAAGAAATTAAAAAATAAACAAAAAATTAAATAAACAAATTTACCTAACCAGGCCGGACAAGTTAAGTAAATTGGTTAGAGTTTTTTTCTTCATTTTTGTATATTTTTTTGCGAAGCAACCCCCGATGACTCCAGGCCGGACAGGTTAGGTAAATTAGTTAAGTATTTTTTTTAAATAATTTACCTAAAACGTGCCATCGGGAGACAACTCGTCATTACTGAAATACATATTTTGGGCGAATGGGCCATGTTCACATGTGAGATATGCTGTTTTATAAACTATATTGTAATAGTTAGTCGCTATACAAGTTATTCTAAATAATCAGTTCGTTAAAAAAGCTAAAAGTTTTTAAATTAAGCCCAATTGAAATTTAAAATTTGAAATTATACGTCATCGGGAATAGACCAATCAGCTTGTGTCGAAGTTTTTTTTGTTATACAAAACCAAGCCAACGAACAAACCTACATACAGAATGTCGAAGTGAACGCACATCTAAGTGACATTAAAAATTGACAGCACCTAACAACTAACCTTAGTTTTTTGTTTTGGTTTAATTTTATTATTAATCTGAATTTATCTGGGTAAATTATCCTGTGGGATAAAGGATATATAAAGGAAGAAGAATATGAATTTATCAGCAGTATTTATAAAAGTTGAATCAAGTATTTTTCCCATTGTAAACGAAAATATGATTACCGAGATGATTACTGCATTTTTTAACAATACTCAGTTTACAAAAGATAGAAAGGTAAAACTTTATTTATAAATTGTTTTAATGGTAGGTAGTTACAGTTTATATGAAGCAATACACTTTATAGTAAAACATATTTATCTCAGGTTTTATTTTTAGATCTGCCAAGCAAAAATATGGAGATATTTACTTTTTCCATAAGAGAGAAGGAGACAAATTACACCTAAACATAAAGTACAGCAAAAACCTTATGATGTGGCTGTTGTATTTAACAAAAATGAAATTTTTAGTGCACAATGCTTAGGATATGTTGAATCTCAAGGTTTGTAATATTTATTATGCTTTTTTGTTTTTATATCACATATAATAAACAGTGTATAAGGCCCTTTATTCTTATAAATATTTTTTTTCTAATTTTGACATAAAGAGACATTTTTTGTAATCGCAGCAAGTGTTAAAATAATCTAGAAATAGATTTTGTTAGTGAACCTAGTAATAATTATGATACCAAAGAATGCTGCAGAGCACCTATGAAATTTTGAGTTAAAACATGCCATATTTTTAGGCTATTTTTATACCCTTTTCAAAAATTTTATGCTCCTCGTTTTATGCAAAACTTAAAATGCTCTGATAGCTTCGAACGAAGTCAGCAAAGCACCTCTGTTTTATAAAGTTTTTTCTGTAAAAACAGCAACACCATATATTTATGCACTT